CTCTCTCTCTCTCTCTCACTCTCTCTCTCTCTCTCGTCAATAGATATTAATATTATTGACATTTCATTTCACTTTTAATTACTATTGTGTTATAGAAAAATATAAAGAATTTAAATAAAATTAAATTACTTTCAATATTGTAGTAAAAATATAAAATCATTTATCAATAGTTTACTGTAAACTTTACACAATATTTGTTTGGATTTTTGACCGAAAAGTTTTGTTTTTTATGAAATACATTATAAGCAATGAATTGGATGACTATATGATAATCACATAATCACTATAATTATCAAGTATATTTTATACTGTATATAAAAATTTACCTTCACTTTGCATTGTACTCATCGTATCAATAGATCATTGAATAGCGATATTTAATTGGATAATAAGGCATAGAAATTGTTGAATAAACGGCAAAAATTTCCCTAAAATTTGAATAAAATTATTTTTTCTCGTAAATGTTTTCACGTTAATATCCAAATTAATATACAATAAAACATTTCATTTGAATACAAGGCATGTTTTGTGAATATAAAAAATGAAAGTATTTTTTCCTAACAGTTATTTACCGATAGTTTCCTTGTTTTTCAATACAGACTATACAACCGAACAACACGTAAACTATAATTACGTGAAGTTTTTACTCCCAATTCAATGTATCGTATCGTAAAAAACAGTATAATTTTTTTCTCCAGCAGAGAGTCCATTGAAGTCATGATAATCGCGATTATGTGAAAAATATAAGTTATTATTATGGATACCGTTCCCCTACTAGTGCTATGTGTGTGTATACTGGTGATCGATATGTAATTAATCTCTCAGTGAATACATTATATAAATCTTAAGTTTTAGTAGCATAATAAGTATTAATAATATTTTTGTTCATGTATTTGACATATAATCTCAATGTTTTTAGGTCTCCTATTTATTAGGCCTCCCTTTTGATATACACATGAAAAATGATGTAAATCCTAGAGATTGTTATTGTTTTTGTGAAATATATTTTGTGTCCATATAGTAATATGTTTTGTTAATTAACAAAAATATTTTGCAACATTTTATTTAATAGTAATTATAATTAAAAATTGAAAACAAATAGTTATCTCATAAACATATCAAATACTGTTTTTAGTTTAAAACTAAATTTAGTTTTTAATAAATACAGATGTATTGAATGTAGTGAACATAATAATTAATCAGCGATTATTTATAGGGAATTATAAAACAAGTTTTTGATTATTTTATGGATTTAAAAATATATATATATTATAAATAATTTATAAAAAAATAAAACAACTGATTCTGCGAAAAAATTAATTCATAAAAAAATTACAAAAATAAACATTAAATATAATTACAGATACGTGTAATCAGTATTTAAATTACATGCCATTTATTTTTGTCGATAAGAGATACTTATCGACACTATTAACACATCATTAGATTTATTATACATATATTTATAACGCATAGTATTACTACATAAGTATATTATTAACATAATTTAAATTAATGTCAAATCAAACACTAATGTCTGTATTACCCGTTAATTGTAGGCTTAGTTGCGGGCGATGGGAGTCGGGAGGCCGGGGGTCAGCCCTCGTCGGTGTCGTTCCGATGTCCGGAACAGTTTGGTTATTATGCCGACAGTAATAACTGCAGCAAATATTTTGTGTGCGTTTTCGGTGAGGCCCTCCACGAGGCCTGCACGGGGGGACTCAGGTTCTCGTCCGAGTTGCAGACCTGTGATTGGCCCCGCAATGTTGTCTGTCCTTCCGAGGGTAAGCATACCGTTCCCTTTCCTACACTACCTTTCCGTTGTCTCTCTCACACCTAATTATTTAATAATTTAAAACTATCTACCTATCTATCTAATTAATTAATTTAGTTTCAATACATAATTAATTACTAATTGTTTGATACTTGTAATATAATTTATTTAATAATTACTGATTAAAAAAATTAACAATCAATGTTTTTATTTATGTTTTAATAAATATTTTAGATTAGTATGCAGTAGTTTGCTATAAATTATTAATTATTTTAGATAGAAATTAATAATTAGAGTTTTAATGTTATATTTAGCACATAATTATTCAATTAGTTATCAAATGAGATAATGTTACATGACATTAGATAACATCATAAAATAAGAATATTTGCATCAACTACATTTAAAATGAGATTTAAAGTATTGTACTAGCTGTATATTTGACTTATAATACAAGTATTAGCTCTACTTTATTTGATGATAAGTAGTATTTCATTGAAAACAAAACAACATACAATTTACTATTTTTGTTATTTCACAAATAATATGCAAATTGCGATATACCGTATATTATTTGGTGACAGTAACTTTATTAGAGTGTGACTAACAATATGTTCACTATACAGGTATAAATTATATTGAACTCTAAAGTAGAAAATTATTACATAAAGTGTCAAAAGAGGAGTATATTTTACATGAATTTACAAAATTAGCATATTTTTAATGCCCTTAATTTATAAATTATATACATTTAAATTTTCTAAAAATTTTAATTAATGATCACTGTCAGTAATAACTTTATTTATAAAACTTTTATTATAAATAAATGGTAAATAAAAGTATTATACTAGTAAAACACAAATATATTTTGCATAACATTTTCATTAATCAAAACAAATATCAAAATAACTGATAAAATATTTAACATTATAATTATTTCATAAGTTTGTGGTCTCTCTCTCTCTCTCTCTCTCTCTCTAATAATTAATTATAAATCAATCAAAACATAATCAATTAATGATTGCAATTAAATCATAAGAATTTTAACCAAAAATAAAAATATCCGAAATATAGAGCAAAATACGAAATAATTAGTAATAATTAATTTGTTTCACTATTTAATAAACAAAAACTAATAGTTTGTAACCAACTTCTAATCACAATAATAATTATTTTGCATTTAATTTTCAGATTCCGACACAGAATCGCAGCCAAAGAATACAAACACTGATTCTGATGGAGGACTGGGAGGTGGCAGAGGGGAAGGGGACGACACCTCAGGCGGTGATTCCCTATACGACTATAATGTGGAGGAAATCCGACAACAGGTCAAGAATACTAACAATCAAAATGAAGACAATTTACGGAATATTCAGAACAGTTTCGACAACTTATTGCTGAATAACAATAAAAACACGAATAATAGGAATAATGATAATAATAACGAGGATTTCCTGGACCTCCAGCGCTCCCGGAGTGTTGTCAACCCACAGGAGCGCGGGTTTGGGCAGCAATTGATTGGTATTTCTGTCAAAAACAACTATAAATTAATTGCAAATTAAAACTATTTTCTCACATTTTTAGGCCGAAGTGTGTCCGGAGTGAGGGTCACATCCGTGACGTCCAGCACGTCGGACGGCCAGTCGTTTCGGGACAGCCAGTCGGCCAACAGTAACAGTGCCCCTAAACAGTCTGATCCCCCCAAGAACAACAGGGTAACCGTCGACGACCTCAATAACCCCAACTTCGATGAGGCCATTGCCGCCATAATTGACGAGAACGGAGGGGTACACCTAAATGACGGGCCCGGGAGTCTGTATGCGATCGTATCTCAGGGTCCCGGTGTCGGTCCCGACGATGACAAGGAGGTCAACGTGTTTGTGAAGCCTATCAACAGCGAGTTGAAGCAAAACACGCGCCGCGGGTTAGCCCACAATAATCACATCATTTTGCTGAATAGGACCCAATTGGCGATACCCCAGTCCACCAACAATAGGGGCGCCACCAATAGGTTCCTACCGGCGCCCAGGGGTACCCAACAGACACAGTACGTGCCCCTACAGGTGCCGCCTGTGAACAGCAAACCCCCGGAACTGTCGCAATCACAGCACAGATCTAACGCCCGGACCTCCAGACAGAGAATTCACATAATTGTGAACAACAGGACTCAAGTCCAGGAGATCCCGATCGACGATCCCATAGATTTCCAGCGCATACCTGCCATACAACAGACCACTCCCTCTCAGAATAGATACTCAAACCCCCGCACAGGCAGTGGTGAGCATAATAGGCGTCCCATACCGGCGCCCACTGTACGGACGACCACCACTGAGAAGCCCAGGAGGGAGACGCCTACGGAACGGCCCCAACACCGGCACATACAGCACAACCCGGAGTCCAGTTATGTGGCGGTCAATGAGCGCCGACAGACGGCCGCCAACGCCAGGACTGTAGTCGCCAACGACTACGCCATTCAACCGGAGGTCGGATTTGTCCCCAGGGATACTGTCCCTCAACGGCCGCCCCCTGTATACCGGACACCCGAACCCTACTCGACGGCTATGGCCTGCAATCAGAAATCGTGTCGACTCCCCGATTGTTTCTGCGCCGGCACTGATATCCCAGGTATTTGTGGTTATATATATAGAAAATAACAGAATTTGTACTAATTTGCATACCTGTCCCCTCCATGTAGGCGGTCTACCGGTGGGTCAGGTGCCGCAAATCGTGTTGATGACCTTCGATGACGCCATAAATGACATCAATTTTCATATCTATGACGAGATCTTCCAGAGTCACCGCACAAACCCAAACGGCTGTCCCATTAGAGCCACGTTTTACGTGTCGCACGAGTGGACGGACTACGGACAGGTCCAGACTCTGTACTCCCGGGGCCACGAGTTGGCCTCACATTCAGTCACGTGAGTGTTGATAATTGTTATTTAAGTCAATAGTTTTGCAAATTGTGTTTTGTTATTATGACAACTAATTATTTATATATTACTAAATTTTGTTATTAAGTAGCTAGCTCAAAATTAATGATGTATTAATAGATTTGTTAATTTTAATTTTATGATAAACTTGGTATTTACATGATATTAGATTTAATTAGTGTTCAAAAGTTTTTTCAATTAAATTAATAATTATTTTTCTTTCTCTGATATATAGTCACAGTTTTGGCGAAAGGTTTAGCAAAAGTCAGTGGAATAAGGAGATCAATGGCCAGCGAGAGATCCTACACCTGTATGGGGGCGTCAACCTGGAGGACATCCGTGGCATGAGAGCCCCTTTCCTTCAAGGAGGGGGTAATAAGCAGTTTGAGATGTTATATGAGGCCAACTTCACGTACGACTCAACAATGCCTGTCTTTGAGAACAACCCCCCGTACTGGCCGTTCACACTAGACTTTGCATCAAATCACGAGTGTATGATAGCTCCCTGTCCCACAAAATCCTTTCCAGGTATGCCTACCACACAAGCATTGAATTTTTAAATTAATATACAAAACTAGTTTATAGGGATGTCTCACTCAAATATTTTTAATAACATATTAACTATTGTGAATTTTAAATATAAGCAAGTACAGTATCTAAATTAATATATCATTAATTAACATGTTAGGTGCTAGTTGTAATAAATAGTGTAATTATTTATACAGTAATAGGCATTAACAATTATTTTTTATTTAATGATTAGCTAGTTCACTATATTGAAATTATTTAAAAACAACACACTATTTATAATATTAGCATCATAATAATAAATATAAAGCCCAATTTAACATCCATTTCCTATTGGGAACAGGATTCTGGGAGATCGGCATGGTCATGTGGCAGGACCTACGCGGGGGCCGGTGCTCTATGGGGGACGCCTGCTCTAACCCCACCGACGAGAACGGCGTGTTTGAGATGATAATGAAGAACTTCAACCGCCACTACCAGTCCAATCGGGCGCCGTTCGGTCTGTACTACCATTCCGCGTGGTTTAACACCGATCACCACAAACGCGGGTTTATTCGTGTGATCGATGAGCTCCTGAAGCGAAAGGACGTCTACTTTATGACCAAATGGCAGGCAATCCAATGGATGCGTAACCCGAAGCCCGTACACGAGTTGTACAAATCCCAGTCCCTTCAGTGCGGGGCTCAGGTGTGGGCCAATAGGCCGCCCCCTTGCCTGCAGCCAAACATATGTAACGTGGGCTCCAAGAGTGGCTCGCGTTTTCTCAAGACCTGCCAGCCCTGCCCGCTGACCTACCCCTGGGTGGGCAACACCGGGTTCGCCAAGTCATGACCGCCCGGCCCCCCGGGTTTAGGAGTAGTTTTTTCAAATTAATAACTTTTTTAGGCTATGTTTTAGTGAAACAAATTGAACGCAAACTTTGTACGTTGGGATCATTCAATAAGTACGTACGCACAGCATGGGAAGGGAGTTTTAATGTTAATTCCCCATGCACACTAATTTTTTATTTAATTTTTGCATACCTACTTGTTAAATGACCCCGACTAGTGTTGAATATAGCGAATGAAACGATTGTTTTTTGTGTCAAATATATTGATATTAATTTTTGTGTTTAATTATGATTTCATTTATCAATCGCACGTTGAGTTGACTTACAATTGATAACTCATTTCATTATTTAATGTAAAAATACATTTTATTTCATTTAAATGTATGCATTTTTGTGAGTTTTAGTTGTTACCTTGATTGTTTTTTTGGTCGAATTATTAATAATAATTTAAATTATTTTTTTGGATAAATATTTTCATAACTCAAATGTGCTTGTTACTATTTGTCTACGAGTTATGGAGGTATACAATGAGTTGCCATAAGTTTTTTGTCGTATATTTTTTAGTGTTCATTAAATATTGTATTTTTATGATGAAAAACAATTGAAATAATAAAATCTGATTGCATTTGTATTAATAATGTGTTATTTATTAATTTACCTGGTATATGTAGCGTGTTAATTAAGCTTACTTTATTTTTGTTGACAAAAATTTGTGGAAAAATTTACAATTATTTTGTTTTAGCTTATTTAGCATTGATTTATAAGCCAGGCTATTTTTAATAACTTTTGTAGCAATAAAACATTTGTGACAATTAGCTAATACTCGATAACATTCAGGTCTTTCATTAGGTTTAATATTAATCATCAAATCCAGCACTTTGTCTAACCGTAAAAAATTACCAAGTATATTTTTGCCGCAATACATATCCAACAAATTTGAGCTATAATTCAAGAATAGTTTAAAAATTATTTTTTAAAAACATACAATATTAGATATTACTTATAATATTTCAAATCAAACAATTCGTTGGCAATGATAGCCAGGCTACAAACATCTGATTTCGTGCTATACTTTCTGTACAGTTTAGACTCCGGTGCCATATACCCGAGTGTACCCACCAAACCAGTATGCTTGGTATTAGTGACCCTTTCCATTGATGCCAACTCGAAGTCACACAACTTAATAAACCTGCCTTTCCTCACACGCCTAGCGATTAATATATTGTCGGGTTTGAGGTGCCGGTGAATGACCGGTGCATTGAGTTCATGCAAATACTGAACGCATTGTAAGATTTGGCGGTATATTTCACACGATATGAAATACTCGACCAAACCCATGACTTGACCCGATTGTCGGCCAAATACTTGTGGTTTGACATCAAGAATACTCTTGAGATCTGTTGAGCATAATTGCATTTGAATGCAAATATCGGTGTCTATTACCCAGATACACAAATACTTGACCACGTATATTGACTCGACTTTTATCAATATTGATATCTCTTTAAAAGTTTCCTTCAAATTAATTTTTGCTAATAATAATTGCATACAATTAACAAACTATATGGTCATAGCTTGACATTAATAATAATTTACCCTTTTTGATAGTGTATAGTTTACGCGTTTTATAGTCGATTGCTTTATAAATAATTCCAAACGTGCCTGAACCAATTTTGCGAATCAATTTGAGAAGGTTTAAGCCGTGCTTTTCATGATTATTTTCATACCCTACTTAAAATAAATAAATTTCAAACACATTACATGATAATTTTTATATACCTTTAAATGAACAATGAATTATGCAAAATAATTCATATAAAAGTGATTGATATTGGTACTTTTTTGTATTGAATAGCAATTCAGTGTTAACATCGATATTATTATCCATGTAACTTTCGAAATTGGTGGTTTTATATGTAAGTTTATATTTATGTAGATAGAAATCATTAAAATTGTCGTACTTTGTTTTTATTAATCTATGTCCTTTTGATAGTAACAAGTATATATTTCGGTTCAATTGGACCGATTTAATTGAACGCGATTTTTGATACGAAATAACCTGGTTGATATTTTCTACATGTGAATCTCGGAATAATATTTTTGGATATTTCTGCGTGTAGTGTGTATTAATGTATTTATTAATATAGAAACCACAAAAATAAATCTCATTTCCCATTAGGTATGTCATATGTCCCGGAGCGCAAATTGCCTTGATGGTGTGCACGTTTATAATTAGTTGCGGTGTCATTATATTATCGGATGATTTATGGCCCAAATTACAGAAATTATTTCGACCCCAACTAAACACATGCCCACCAAATGTTATCGCAAATGATGTACAATCGCCACAAGATATGGTTTTAATCTTTAGGTTTCCAGGGAAACTCAACTTAACTGGCTCATGTATTTGTAACCCAGTATTACAGCCTACTTGACCATGCTTATTACGACCCCAGCCGTACACATAGCCATCGCTAGTGAGGGCTAACATGTGATACAAACCGCAACATATTTGGCATATATTCTCATTGTTTAATTGCTTGATATTTGTAGGATTTAGATAAGCTTGTGATTTGTGCTTGCTTATCTTTTCAGTGTTTGAACCCCAGATAAACAATTGCTTGTTTTTAGTAATAGCCAGCACAAAGTCGTAGCCATTGATAAATTGCCGTATATTTTGATGACATAACTCGGGTATATTATGTCCCAAACCAAGTGATCCGCATTTGTTGGATCCCAAGCCGTACACCAAATCATCGTTTGTGACAAACAATACGTTTTGTCCCCTTTTGTCGTCGAAAATGTGAAATAATTTTATTTTATTAATCAAATCATTAGTTTCGGTGCAATCGTCACAATTATTAGACATTATTACATTGGTCATTTATGGATGCCATTTTAACTTTCAATTGTAGAATATTGCTTATAAGTTGCTTGCGCGTAATATTAAACATTTTAATTATCTATTATATTTTACTTTTTTGTGTGAATATTGTACATTAAAACATATTTTATTGATAATCACGTCTAAGAAAAAAGTTTGTTGTTATGGAAAAACAGGTTTGAATACCGAATTACTTTCAATGGATATAAATAATGTACAAATAATTTTAGTATTTTAAAGTATGGTTATAATTTGTTAACC